CTCGAACTGAGAGAGGAAGGGGATCCCTCTGGCACTTACTACATTAAGCACCTTAAACTAACTAATGCACTTTATTAAGAGGGGATTTGCTTCGGGTTTTCCATTTGTTTTCTTATTTTAGAAACCTTGAGACTGAATATATATATGTGTGTGTGTATACATATATATAAATAACTGGATAGTCTGTGTTTTTGCAGGACGTAGCTGGGGGGGAAAGGGAGGGTCGATTTTTTTTTTCATATCGGAAAACAAATCCTTTCTTGAAAAACAAACACTGTTTTTTTGTTTTTTAAAAAAACGTTTATATATATATAAAAGTTTGAAGCTATTCTGAAAAAATATGGATTTAAAAAGAAACTTGAAGATTTGCACTTATGTAAAAATAACAAAAAAAAAATGGATGTGGAGTCGAGGTGGATATCGGTGCGAGTGCGTGCGTGTGTGAGACAGAGTCATACATTAGTCTGCACAATGTATTTTTTTCATTGCTTACCAAGATGTATCAAAAGAAGAGAGGCCATTATTGTCATTTTGTTGAAGTGAGGATTTTGTATTTGTGTGTGTGCGCGCGAGGCAGAGTGGGCAATATTGCACAAGGCATCATTCTCATCACCAGCTCTTAGTCCCTGGATAAATATGTTTTCCTTCTTCCCTGGCAGTTGCCCCAGTCCCAGCCTGCCTCTCATGATTGAACACCTGTTCTGCTTCCCTCTTGCGTTAACATTTCTCTTCGGGACATGTGGCTCAGCTCCAGCATGTACAGCCACCTGCGTGTGCACCTTCAGTCCCCAGCCTCTGCATGTGTCCCCAGCTGCGTCTGTGCAGCCACCTGCGTGTAGGCAATCAGTCCCTGGCCTCTGCTTGTGTGCCCAGCTGCATCTGCGCAGCCACCTGCAGGTGGGTCATCAGTCCCCGGCCTCTGACTGTGTCCCCGGCTACACTGCGCCTCTTCATGCGTTTCGTGTGAGTATCAGTGCTTGCGTGGGTGTAAGCTAGACTCCTGTGCTGTCTCCTCGTGCCGGGTGGCGTTCCTGTTTGTGTTGTCCGGATCGGCCTTTCTCTGTTGGTGTGTTTGTGAATTCGTCCCAGCAGCTTCAACTGGAGCCTAAGGAGCCTGAAGACTTGTGATTCTCTCTCTCATTTCTCAAGCTCTTTCCCTCTGGCATGGAAAGCAGGTCTTTACTTTGCTTTGTGGGCAGTGAAAGTGTGCCGTCTCACCTCCCCATTCCAGCCTTCTGGCCCTTGTGGTTCTCCATATTTGTCCAGGGACTCTCTTGAAAGAGAAAATCATTTGTTGTCAGTTCTTGGATGTGATTTATATTGCCTGTTGTCGATTTGTCATGCAACTTGGAGAGCATGAAGGAATGGAGTGAATGTTTGTGTGCGTGGGTGAGTGGGTTTTCTACCGAGCTATAAAAGATACAGACATCTGAACTGTGTTAAGAAACAGCCAGATGTGCAGATGTTAGTATATTGTGTTACTCTCATTGTTGTTGCTATTGATGATGATGACGATGCTAATTTTGTCTTTTTTATATATCCATTATATATATAAAGTGATAAGTATTTGAACTAAGATTCAGAGCACTTTGAGGCTGCTATGAGTCTTCATTGCCTCCCGTCTAAGTGCGTTTGTGTTTTTTCTGTTTCGAAACAAAAAACATTGAATGTATTCCAAAACAGAACGGAAATGGAGGAAAAAATGATCCCAGATTCTCGCGCCTGACGGGACGCGGGGATTATTTCACAGAGGAATCGGACGGAAGGTGGAGGCTTTGTTCTTTTTTTATTTGTATAAAAAAAACTCAAAATGACAAAAAAAAGTAATTTTAAAAAAAACCTACGAACACCAGACTGCTACTGTTGAAGACACTGCCTCTTCTGAACCCTGTCAAAACCAGTTTTTTTATACCTGTATTCCTCACTGGGGGTGTGTGGTTGTTTACAGGCCTCCTGGAAATCTGATGGGTCCCCCCCTTACCCCCCCCCCCACATGCGCGATTGATCCACGCGGGACTCTTCTGTCACAAGCGCTCGAAACAGGAAGAGGAAGTGGCGGGGCAGGGGGGGTTGGCATTTCCGTTCCTACAATGTGATAAACACCCCCCCCCCCCAGATCCCCATCCCAAAACAGTTTTTTTGTAGGAATAAGTGGTGTGGGGGGGGAAGGGGAGAGAAACAGGGGCGTACCACAACACAACTGGTTTTACAAAAACTTGTGAAAGATTTTTTTTCTGGGGGGAGGGGGTGGGAATCTTCTTGGGGGGAGGGGGGGGTGTTATGTTCGTTGAGTGTGAAGATTTTTTGTATGGCTAATTTTTTTTGTCATTTCAGTTTTGGCTTAAACTGCCTGTTCATTTCAGAAAAGAGAGAGCGGGGAAAAAAACACACAGAAGCCGAACGGCTTAAACTAAGGAGAGAATCTGTCCGGTACACGACACTTCAATCAGAAAAGAAGTCTTTGCTTCATTTTTTCAGGCGATGATTTTTGTTGGGGATAGTTGGTTTTATTTTATTTTTTTTTCCACATTGCTAAAAAAAAAAAAGAAAATCTAAAAAAATACAGGTGGGTTGGAGTGGAGGGCCGCAAGGAGCTGAAGGCCCAGAAGGAAGGAAGATGGCGCCTCTGCTGTCTGAGGAAGTGTACAACTGGGAATGCCATCTTCCGATTGGAAGAATTTTTCCACGGTTTTCCTTGGGGCAGAGAGAGGAGAAATGCCCCTGGATGGGTCCTGCTGGGGCGTCCCACTATGCACTTTTGTTCCTTGGGGGGGGGGGAACAGGTCGGGGGCAACTGTGAGGATGTTCTCAAGCTGGCAGAAGGCGGGAGACGGGGCACGTCTGGGGCGGACGAGAAGCTTGCGGAGCCCAGCCGGGACCGGACGCTGGGCTGGGCGAGAGAGGAGGTCGAGACTTTCTCTCTCTCACACAGACACGGGACAGACGCCCGCGCCCTCTTCCGCAGCGCGGGGGAGGGGCCGCGGGACGGACTCGGCGACCGCTAGCAAGGACAACGCTGGGGATAGCCGGGCCTCAGCCATGAAGGAAGCTCTGGAAGCTGAACCCCCAAAAACGAGCTCCAAGCGTTCTTTCGAAGCCTCTGCCAGTCGAGAGCACTGCGGGCCCCCTCCCCCCAACACACACACACACACACACGCCCCATCCCAACATTTTTCCGTGACCGCTCCCTCCCAGGCCGATCCGGGACAGGGCCGGGCGGGAGTTTGGGGAGCCGGGACAGCAGCGACGAGCCCAGTGAACGGGAAGAGACCGGAACTGGCTGGAGGGTGTCCGGCAGATGGAGACCTTTGCCATTCCGTTTCCCATGGATCACAAGCCCGTGTCGCTGCAGTGGGTGTCCCAGGAACTTCTATCAGAGACAAAAAAAAACTTTTTAACCTGAACCAGAAGGGATTTTGGAGATCATATAAAGTACATGCTGGTTCAAGCTGTGGATAATCTTCCTGACTGGCCTGGATTGTTTTTGTTCAAATTTGGTTTGTTCAGCAAATTGGCCAAATGGAGGAGGAACACAAGCAAGTTTTTTTTATACTTTTCCCCCTTCTTCTGCGGGAGGTGGAGTGAAGATTTTCGGCGCGTTGGAGGGAGAGAAGGGGCCACACACCAGTCGGAGACACAAGGTAAGGAAAGTTAGAGGGGATTGGAAGCGAGGGGCAGCAGTGTGTGCTGGTGAATCCAGGGTGAGTGAGAGAGGAGAGGGACAGCAGTGGCTCTAGCAGTGTCTACAGTACAGTCAGGTGTGACAGTGTGTGTGTGCTGGTGAATTCAGGG